AGGGAGGGGGAGGAGGCGAAGGCGGCGGCGCCGCAGCGGCAGCCTTGGCCCAGGAATGGCGTCCGCCGCCGGAAGAGGTCCCGGCCGACCTTTGATTTACGTTTCGCTCGCTGCTGAGGCGAGCAATGCTGGCAGGTGAGTGAAGCCATCCGGAGCACCTGACTCAGTACCTGTCGTATGTAAACATAGGGGCATAGTGACAGTAATGATTTATTATTGTTTAGGTATTGTTGCAAGGAGCAGGGAACTGGTCTTAGAGCTTGAAATACGATCCGCTCATCACGACCTTGCTTTTCTTTGATACTCCAGTGATGATAATGTCATGTGCAATATTTTGTAGGTTTCGTTAATGGAAAGTAATAATTAAGTAATTTGTCGGTGCAATGAAGTGTGAGGTACATTGAATATGAAATAAAACTATTTTCAGAATTGTAAAATAAATCTACTGGTGCTTCAACAGTATACTCATTCCCGTTTTGTTTGCAGATTTCACAATTTTAAAACATTTAGAGGACATGCATGGTATTTTTGGACATGGTTTTTTTAGACGCTACAAAAAATGTCAACTCTTGCAATTTTCGATAATACTAAAATTACAAAAAATTAAACCTGCGCCATTTTGAAATGTCCTGGCGCCATTTTTGAGGACATTTTCAAAATGTTGAGACTTCATGTAACGGAATTTTCCGTTTCAAATTCGCAGGAACCTTAGTTTGGTCAGTTCAACGAGAAATGTCAATTTTGGAAAAAATCAACTGAACGGTACACGTGCTAGAGTAGACCACTGATAAATTGACGAACAGAGGAAGGCACGAAGAGACGAATAGACGAATTGACAACAGACTGACAACTCTAGGACGCACATTCCGATGGGCGAATAGAGAGACGGGCAGCTCTGTGTGGAAAAACGTCGACGGCAGGAGAGACGGACGGCAGGAGAGACGGACGGAGATTGAGTCAGTCAGAAAACCAGATTTTTCTATTTGGGATTTGAATAAAAAATATATCAATTTGTTGATGTTTATGTGGTATGGGATCAATAATTCGTTCGTGACTGATGAGGCAAAAAACGTTTAAATACAATAATTTGGAAATCGCGATCAGCGTGATGTGGAATGTAAAAACTGAACGTACCGATAAGTATTGAAGCTATGTGCCCCGCAGATATTACGTAGGTATTTGTCCAAACTCCTATGTTCATTTACAAGCCTGAACCGGCTGAATGTAGCTCAGAGCCAGCATTGCCGTTGTCTCTGCAGCGGCTCGCTTCTAAAGATTCTAGTATTCGATTCCCGACGGTGAGGGATTTTCGACTAGATTGAATTCAGCCGCTATCTGGAGGATAATGTTTCCTGACGGCTGCTATGATCGATAGTTATCCGTGGTTTCTCTGATCAATACCAGGCGAATGCCGGATCAGTACCCAACAAACGGGCTACGGACTGCGCTTCTTCCTTGGCCATCTTCATCCCTTACTTACACAGTCTTTACTCTCGTACCAACCGAAACTACAATACTACACTTGTCGGAAGAACAGTCGGGAGAATAGATCTTGTCCCCAGCGGTGCAACGCTGATGGCAGACCTGATTAAGGAAAATTCCCGCACTATGACGTTCTAGGTCGGCGCCGGATCTCTCCATCCAGCAGGGGAAGGTCACACCTCCCATGATACACCGTGCACTACACTTATGAGGCTAATGACCTCGGCAGTTGACACGCGCGGAATCATCAACTAATCAATCAATATTGCCTTCCTCTTTCTTTCCCAATTCTTTTCTTTACACGCACATACTCTTACTGAAATTGAACTATCATACATGTTGGAAGCTGATATCTTGTCCCGGCTGGGAGGGTGGTTCGATATCTGGATGAGAAAATCTGCAATTGGAAGCTGACGTGCAGGTTGGCATCGGATTTTACCATCCAACGGGCGAGAAACACTGACACCACCAGGCATGGAAATCATTCGCTTTATAACGGGACTAATGCCCATAGCAGTGGACGTGCCCGGTCACATCAATCAATCAGTTTAAATGCCTGGAAAGCGCAACGCAACGCAACGCCTTTTGAAAACGGCCATTACTCAGTGCGTATGTTTGGAGGCACGCGCTGTCGCTGAACGCGATCCTAACGAATGTGTTTCGTGCTGGAAGGGATTAAGATACCTTCGACTGATTTGTGCGGTTCGGTTAGGTCAGGGTTAGCGTATCCAACCGTTATACCTGCGTTAGCGCGTTCGAATTCCATATTTGTCTTGCGAGATGTCGTCATTTATTACATTAGTGGTTAATTCTTGTGGTTGAATATATAAAAGTAATTCGTATTATTAAATAAGAATTTTGTACGAACATTTTCACCTGGTTATTGTTGGAGAAAATCCTCAAAAATTCCTTGAAAAATGTACTGGTATACCATCTGCTGTCTTAAAAAATTCCAGCCAGCCATTGATGACACTTATTTACTGAAAAATTATAATAACCTTGAACTGCTCCATAATATTATTATGCTATATGTTCCAAATAGTTTCACAGAAGAATGTTCTCGACATAATCTTAGTATCATGATTATTAGTAGGGTAAATAATAATAACATTATCAAAGATGTAAAGGACTCAGTTCCGCACGACGAAAATGATCGTTTATTGTATATCAGGTTGAGATTCCAGTTTCCCATGTTGGTCTAAGCACACGGAAACTCGAAAAAAAGGAAAAAAACACCAGAGTAATATAAAAGAAATTGAATTTCATCTCAATTCGATTTCTAGTCATCGGCCATATACATAAAATTTTAATTTTCAAAGACCCACAATGTTGGATAGGAAGCCTGGGAAATACCTCCGGCTCATTTCTGAACCCATAAAGATTAAACTACATTATATCAATACCAATTTCGAGCCGTACCTTTTTACATCTCTACAAGATAATGTTTTTATGAAAATTAAAAACATGAATTACCTTCCCACAATTGAGAATCAGTTGAGATATTTGAATTCATCATTTGATTTGCATCTTTTTGTTTTTTCTTTCCTTTATACACTCTTGGATTTATTCTTTCCTGTCCCTGGACTCCCTTATCCAATCCCCCTCCTTTCCTACCCCCTCTCCTATCCTTTCTCACCTCTACCCCTATCCTTTCCCGTCCTTCCCCCTCTCCCTCTTTCTCCATTCCCACCTCCTAATTTTTTCTCGTACTCCAGTCCTTTTCCCACTTGCATTACGATGCTTAAGTACTCTAGGATGCGCCTGCCAAGAAGAAGACTTTGTGTTTCTCCTTTGTAAATACGTGATTTATTATTTAATATATTGACATTGACCACTAATTGGCCAATATACAATTCTTGTTCTGGTGTGTTATTAATTAACGGGCGAGTTTCTCGGTTTTATGTTAGTACGTGTATTTTAATTAGTGTCATATAATTAAGAAAAGTAATGTTTTTGCTTCCCTTTCATTTTCACATTTTATACAATTATTTGAGTATTCACAATACCAATTTAATGTTATTGTTGTTATAGTTGTTATTGCGGTTATTGCGGTTGTGGTTGTTATTGTTGTTGTTATTATTATTATTATTATTATTATTATTGTTGTTGTTGTTGTTGTTGTTTTTGTAGTTGTCGTCGTAGTTGTCGTTATTATTATTATTATTATTATTATTATTATTATTATTTTCTTTTTCGTAGTTGAACCA